GGGTGAAGCCTAGTCCTTCATTTCGTGCACCCTTGCAGCCTCTATCGATTCCGGCAGAGTGTTGGCAGTCCGTATTGATGGATTTCGTCTTTGGGTTTCCCAAGACGCCCACAAGAATACTGGTATCTTTGTGTTTGTTGATTGGTTCAGTAAGGTGCTAGATCTCGTTGCTTTACCGGAGTCAATCACAGCCCAGGGCTGTGCTCGTGTCTTCACCGGTACTATCTTCCGACTTCATGGGTTATCGTGTGAACTCGCGTCTGACAGGGACCCCCGCTTTAAAGCGGAGTTCTGGCAATTCGTGTTCTGTTCACTTAGAACACGTTTGACGATTTCAAATTCTGACCATACAGATATAGATGTTCAGACGGAACGAGTTAACTGCGTCCTCGAAGAGATACTTCGATGGTACGTCATCTCGTTTACGAGTTGGAGTGAATTCTTGCCGATGGCAAAATTCGCCATCAACAACTCGGTGCATGCGTCAACAACGCGTATACCGTTCGTCATGATTCCTTTGCTGACTAATTCTTGTCAACAGCATGTCGCTTCGTTTGCACTGCTGAAAGACCGTTGTCTTCACCAGTGAGGACGATGAGGCCCTCAATAGTGAAGACAACGATTTTTCAGCAGTGCAAAGGAAGCGACATGCTGTTGACAAGAATGAATCAGCAAAGGAATTTCTGCTGACTCGCGAAGCGGTTGTCCGCTTCGCTCAAGACTCTATTGGAGATGCAATCGACAAGCACAAACGAAACGCAGACAAATACGGAAGGGAAAATATTCTTTCATTTAATGAAGGAGACTTAGTTTACTATCCACAGTAAATTTACCAAAGCCGGCAGTGACAAACGTGAGCAGCAGTAAATTACTGCCCAAGTATATCGTACCATTTCGTGTCTTGCGCCGCATGGGTACCCCATACACGACTGAACTGCCTCGTAAGATGCGTACGCATCATACGTTTTACGTCGGTCGTCCCCTCCCGTACTATCAGTTTGAATCCGTTTCGAGAGGCGAAGAAAACCGCCGCGGTGAAGGACCGAGACCACCTTCGAGTGGTCCCGTTTCAACGAGCCAGTCTAGTCGACTAGATAAGTGACCTGCTCACGCAGTTGAGCGATGTGCTGCAGTCAGCTCGTCACGAAGAGAACGAATCGAACGCTCTTTCTCAGGTCGCGCGAACGCAAACGCGGCACGATCATTTGAACGATCGTGCGCTAAGGAATTGAAATTATCCTTTACAAGGTCATGCAGCTCGTAACGCCAAGTCCGCACATGAGTTAGGTCATCGTGTGATTTAAGTTACACGATTCAGCTCCTGAACATCAAGCTGATCCGACCCTCGAGCCGTATCAAGTGTTCCCGCCACCACCACATCCTTTGGTGGATTCTGGCGGTGGTCAACGCTTTCTGGTGGAGCGTATCTTCAACGACTGCGACGTGAATGACGTCCAAACGAGTTACCTCTTCCGCTGGCGAGAATATCCACCGACCTGAGACATCTGGGAGTCGCGCGCCCAGCTTATTGTTGATGTTCTGGGTCTCGTCGAGCAATATGACGAGACCCACCCGCTGCGTTCGAAGAAGAGCCGTCGAAAAGTTGACCGCCCCGAACGCGAGTACAGGGATTGCATAGTGTCAATCCTTTTTGGATATCTTCGAAAATATGTGCGCCCTCCAGTAGGGAACATTTGGGAGGTAGGCCTCTTTAGGGGCAAGGTTTGAGTTGTCCCGACAGCTTGGACACGGATCACCCCACGAGAGACAGGTTAACCCAGCCTCTCTTGACAGATGGTGCAACTTGGATTGTACACCGACTAGGTTACGTATCTAAAAACTGATGCGAGCTGCATCAAGTTTTCCGAGCTAGGCCTTGCAACCAATACACTCGATGTTATGGATGAAGGCATTCCATCCTTGCACCAAGGCCTTATTGTCTCGATTACGGTTGACTCTGTACCATCAATGTTTAAAAAAATACATCGGTGAAGAACTCTTCCTCAGCACGAATAATTTCCGTGCTGGAATAAGGAGGACAGATCTTCCTACAGTTGAACAACGGTATTCGATCCCGTTCGGTGGCCATGCCGGCCACTCGGTCTAATGCCTTGGACGATAACATCCAAGGAGCCTTCACTTGAGGAGCACGGCACAGGAAATTGCGGTCTCGGGCCTCTTGTGTGGTGTCAGCATGAGCACTGACACCAGTAGCAGCTCGATACCTCGAGATGGTTCTCTTGTGGTTACATGGGTGCGTCACAATCATCACCACGCACCCTATTGTCATATGGACTTGCGTGAGACGAGGATTCGTCAGACGAATTGCTCAGTCCGAATATATCAGACATGATGCCTCCACGTTCCCCAGAGCCAGTCAGCCTGGCTCTTGCAGTGTTCGCCCCGGATGATCCGGAGGTGTGAGGTGTTGCCTTCGAGTCGGATGAATCACATGACTCGCCAGAATAGATGAGCTCTATTTCAGGCTCATCCCCATCGCAAGTCACAGCACCCGATGCAGACGCAGCGGATGTATCTGTCGCACATGGTGACTCACCGCGGACTAGTCGCAATAGTAGGCGAATGACCACCTGCTGCTGAAGCAAGAAAAGTACTATCTTCGGCTGCACGCATGCGTGCAACCGCCTTTCTGGCTGCTTCGGCAGCACACCGCATGGACTTTGACATCAAGCGATAAATTGGCAAATGAGTGGAAATTTGATCAACAAGTGCTCCCCTTCCCATAGTGATACAACGGTGGTCACCCTGTCCCAATCAATTCAATCCAATCTACGGGGGATAAATGGTTAATAGGGAGGTGTAACGGGGTAGCCCGCTACGTATTATTGTCACTAAAAGGTGTTAATAGGGAGATTGTCTAGCGTGACAATCCCCCGTCAAAATTATCCGATATTGGAAATATTGAAGAACATTAATCTATTAGGATATAGATCCATGCGCTGCTCAAAGATTGGTTGATGAAAACATATCATTCAAGATTAACACCGATCCCTGCTAGACGCGCGTAATGAGTGTGAGAAGGTTGTCGTCATACGACAATGTAGATTAATATAGTTAGATAAAGACTGAAGTTATTTTGATAGCTAAACTATGTTAAATACAGTTCTCTTTTTACCCTTTTCTCGAACTAGCTGTTTGAGTAGATTAGCTTCCTCTGCACGTACTAGTGTACGTGATGTTTCGTGGCACCTACACAAATGGAGCCCCGTTACACACGGCACCAACAAGCGTAAATTGTCGTACTTATCAAATGATGATAGCTGCAATACGATTTATTAGCTTTGTTTGGCTGTAATTGAACTTATCTGGACGAAGGCTAAGTGGAAGTGGTCGCATTTTTAGTGTCTGTTCTCAAATTATCAGTGTCTGTGGATGTATTAGCCCCCTACTGTAAAGCCTAATAATTTTATACACCCTTGTTATGTATCCATACCCTTCTTTTCCATTCTAAGAGCCTCCCTTAAAGTGTGGCCACATTCTTTTTACATGGTGAGCGAAATAATAAACAATTATGATGAAAAGGCTTTTCAAAACATGTGTTGTAATGACTACACACTTGGAGAAGCGTTGAACACTGCAGGTGGCGGTATGATCGAGGTCAAGGCCACGATTCAACGTAAAAGATTTTTGCGAGTCCACAGGAGCTTACCCCTGAAAAAAGGGGGTTTTATCGACTTTTCTAGTATAAATATAAGGTATGTTCAGCTACCTTATTGTCTTTTTTTGAGTCTCTTATAGCGGGTGCTGTATGATTCATAACGTATAACTTTACTGGTAATATCATTTTTACACACCAAAGGTCAAATCATGACGCAGTCCAACATTAGTTACAAAATCATGAAGAAATCGAGTCTTTCTACCCTCGTTGCATACTTCAAATAGTACTACCAACTGCTAATTAGGGTTTTCGTAACTATAGGCCGTCGTGCGCGCTTAACGAATGAGCTTCACTCCGCGCGAAGGTTTGTACTGCCGCTCCCACTTTTCGCATGTCACATGCACTTATTCCGGGGGAGGGAGCAGCCGTCATTATAAGGTAAGAGTTACAATAAGCGTAATTGCTGCGCTTACAGGGGTGTGGCTATGTGTAGCGGAGCTACCCCGCTCTTTAAGTCAGAGGAAGACTTATTTAACAAGCCAACGGCTTATGGCTGATAGCCTTTTAGTTCTACGGAACTAAAATATCAAGTTAAGAGTCACCCAGTTCTACGGAACTCGGGTGGACTCTACGAGCTAACAGCTCAGCTAATGTAGTTCGAAGGAACTGCACGCACAATGTGCGAAAGGGGAATACCGGAGTCTAAAGACTCTCTGTCCCACGACACTTCTAAAGAACTTTCAAACGCAAGGTGCGAAAGGGGGTGGAAGTCTAGGGACTTCTGCTTAAAATAAGAACTGAACTTTATTTAGATTTTACATCAAGGAAATCCTACTTTATGTACGTAATATTATCCTAAATACATTTACCAGTACTCGAACTAAATGGATGGTTGCCACATCACTCAGTCATCAAATGATGACGGTACAATGTACGTACACGGTAAGTACCGCAAACCTGGTAATATCGATCAATCGATATTCTCTTGCTGATATAAAATCTAAGGTCACACACATTCATCCAAATCAGTTATGGGAGGTCTTTGACCAAATTAGCCAAAGGCTATGCGACCCCGTAATTACCTCCCCCACCAGACTGACGTTACCACAAACGTCACTCGACTCATTCTCCCTTTGAGACTTGTTACAAAGTAATGCACTTACATGGACCGACCTGGACACTTCCTGGAAGATAAGACTCTAGCCGAATTCCTTGGTGCCGAAGACGTGGACTATGACAGTAGTAGCGATACCAAAGTCGAGAGGGAGAATCAATCCAAACCCAGCACACCTGTGCGTGGAGACATTCCTCATCCGGCACCTATCCGTTCCCTAAACGTAGTCCCGCGACTGCGCTAACAGCGCTGGGAGAAATGTCCCCCATGGATACTCCCATTATCACTAACCCGCTTGATGAGGAGCAACAACGCATGCTCGATCAAGCGGCGAGCGCACGGCGCAAGTCAGAAGTTCAGACGACGTTGCAACGACACAGTGAATATACGTTCACTCCACCTGGCGTGGAAGAGCTCATTCTTCAAGCGTCACTCCATACGTTGGCTACATGGTCCACCGGCCCCAAGGCGAAAGCGCCCGCTGAACTCGAATGTCGCAAGGCTCTTCGAGAGAGGTACTTGGAACCTACTGTGATGACTTTGAGTCAATACAGAGAACGGCTGCAAAAACAGGCCCAAGGAACACCAGTTCCACGAATTTGGGGTATACCCATCATTATGTCCGAAGATGGGGACAAAATTGCGGAGGACGATATGTTCATTCGCTGGATGCATGGCGTTCGACGCCTTAGTAGCATGCACGCGCTACGCGAAAGTGCCAGTGTGGCAGACTTTCGTCTAGCGAAAACTTCGCTGTGACTTCGCGAATTAAAGGCCAGAGGCCGTCTGCGGGAAGTTTTACGCTCCCGCTATGCTTCGGCTGCCTCTGCAGCCGCGAGTTCACGTCAATCTTTTGACACGAACGCGCCCGCTCTCACTACGACGAGTGAGAAGCGTGACGCTCGTCAAGACGAGTTCGGCCGTGGCGCTCAAAAACGTCAACGGCGTCTGGGCAGTCTTGCCGAAGAGGAATCTCATAGTTTTATGATTTTTCAAACTCAGGGTACCCACGCCACTTCACCAGATATAGGTAGTGAAATGACGACGACGAGGTTGTAGTACCCGCTCCACATGGAACTGTAAGTTCCCTTGCATATCAAGCAACGCTGGTGGCGTTCGGAGTATCGGCTGATAGCCATCCTAAGCTGGTGAAGAAAGTGAAGGATGTCCGTGAGACTTTGGGACAGACTCAGAACGCCCAGAGCGAAGCCCGATTTCGTCTGGCGACGTTGTAAGGCGATCGCGCCCGTCTTCAGATGATGGAGTCACGTCAGACTCGTGTCGAGGCTCAACTTGACCTCTTCATTCGGGTGCAACATCCTGTGACAACGCCTACGTTGTCACAGGATGTTGCACCCGAATGAAGACGCCTGTACGCGTCACAAGCGCCTTCAAGTCAACATGGGACGGGTCCCGGAATGGCTTTAGCAGGCTGACATAAAAGACGGGATGTGAACGCAATTTGCGCGGAAAGTTGAGCGCATACGCAAGGCCATCCTTGGCCACGCCGTAAGAGGTCCAATGAAGCGCGGTCGCAAATTTGTTTCAAAAAAACCCGACACTACATTTGTAGGTAGCTTTTTAGCGTTTAGCAAGACTTGGTCTCCGACCTCATAACTGTCAATAACATTTCTGCCTTTGGCATCTGCTTGTTCCTTTTGTTTATCTTGGCTACCAGCCATTGCATCTTGCACATGTCGTAAGAGATTCAACCTTGTTTCGAGGAACTCACCAACCTATTTTTAAACAGTGGCAGGGATGACATCAGCAAGCCGATCAGCAATCGCTTCCCCATCAAGCCCGGACCCACGGAGTGGTAGCGTCAATGGGACGCGCGGATGGGTGAGGCGTCCACAAAGAACGGAGTGTAGCCAATCGAAGCATGGACCGAATTGTTCATGTCAAATTCGACCTTCGGAAGAATGGAGCTCCAACGCCGAAGTTCTTCAGCGCACACGCTGCGTACTATGACACCACTAACACGATTATCGCGCTCGGTTTAACCATCGGTCTGCGAATGATCCGCTATGTAAATTCCAACCTGGTGCCCAGCGCCTTTAGTAAAGACTTCCAAAAATTTCCGGTAAACCGAGGATTGCGATCTGAAACAATTGACACGGGCAAATCATGTTGACGAAACACGCGACTGATTAACAGCTGTGCTGTACGTTCACTATCAATCGAATCCGGCACAGCCGCTAAATAAGTCATCGTACTCAAACGGTCAACAAAGACCACAATACCAGTGTTGCCGTCCAAATCTGGTGACAAACCAAACACAAAGTCCATACTGATGGATTCCCAACAGCCCGTAGCTATAGGCAAACTTGCCAAAGGCGCAGCCGCATGAGCGGACGGTTTGACCCGTTGACACGTTTCACACGTACGCACATATGTGCTCACCCATTTGTACCACTTGGGCCACCAATACGTCTGGCTGACCGAGCCATAGGTCTTCTCACGACCTAGATGACCGCTTAAGTCAGTGTCATGTGCCTCAAAGAGTATACGATACTTCAGTTCCTTATCATGAGGAACAACGATGAGAGGTACATCTTCAGCACCCGTGCAATAGCACAACAACCCACTCATGTCGACATATCGATGTAGGCTCGCACGCAATGTCCAAATCTTAGAACTCCTCACTTCCAAGAGCGTGGATCAATGCTACAGATTTCTCATCAAGTGCATTCGACGCACGAATTAAATCAAGGATAGAAGACGACAGAGTCGTAACATAATCAAGCTAATAATCAGTTCTGCGTGACAACGCATCAGCCGACGCATTTTGCTGGACCGGCTTATATTTAACTCGAAGTTGCATTCAGAAATAAAGAAAGCTAACGGGCCATACGCTGTGAGAGGTGGGGTGACTGGCCGCAGTGCGTAATGACGCATGATCTTGAAGATCAAAAAATGCTTTAATCCGAGTGGGTGGACTCTGAACTTGAAAAGAGCTAAGTTCGATGCAAGTAACTCCTTGTCGTGAGCTGGATAGTTCTTCTCTGCAGCCTTGAGCTGTCGAGATTTATACGCAATGGCGCGTTCATGTCCATCGACATCAGTTTGCAACAATGCACTGACAATGGTAAAATCAGATGCGTCACAGACGACAGTGAAAGGTCGCTCCGGGTCAGGCAAAGCCAAAATTGGAGCATGAAGGAGACTCTCCTAAGCAGCTTGAAAAGCTTGAGCCTGGACTGTGTCCCAACACCAAACTGCATCTTTTTTGAGGAGGTTGGTTAGTGGCAGTGCTATGTCAGCAGAGTTTGCACTATACTTGTGTAAGTAATTGGCTAAATCAAGCCATTTACGCAAGTCTTTTGGGGTAGAAGGAACCGGCCAATCCACAATGGATTTAAATTTCAGCGGGATCTGCCCGTAGACCACGTTTTCCAATGAAGCACCCTGGAAAAGGGATTTCTCCAGCACCAAAAATGCATTTAATTGCATTTGCATACAACTTGTTTGTGCGCATGCACCCGAGCACGGCTCGTAAATGGTCAATGTGATTTTCCACATCTGATCTTTCTTGTTCTGCACGGCTATGGACAAAAATCTTATTAGAATAGCTTTGTGCATTAACTCTATGAGGGCGGAACAACTGCGTCATGAGACGAAAAAAGGTTGCAGGGGCATTAGAAAGTCCTTGAGGCATGACAAGCCACTCCCAAAGCATGCCACTCGGCGTGCTAACCGCTGTGAGCGGGATATCACTCACTCGCACGAGAAGTTGGTAATAACCATCGACTAAGTCGATTGCGCTAAACATGGTGCAACTCACCATAGCGTTATGAAGAACATCATTTCTCGGAATAGGTGGTTGCGCAGGTATAGTGGCCGCATTGAGCTTATTGTAAGCGTGCACAATACGCCACTTTCCATTGGGCTTTCTGACACAAAATGTCGGTGTCGAGTGTGGAGATTTGCTCTCCCGCACCATGCCTGCCGCGTGTTTTGCACGAAAGAACTCGTCATTGACGTCACACTGTTCCTTAGGCAATGGCCATTGACGTGTAACACAATATTTAGTTCTAGGGACCAGGTCAATTTCATGACGCACACCTCTATCGGGAGGTAAAGTGGATGGTGGATCATGACACACCACGTCCTGAAATTCCTTTACCAAATTATAGAAGGGATCCGAAGGTTCCTTCAAAATAGCAGATCCACTGCGAGCACTGAGTGCAATTCTAATGTCCTCAAGGACTGTCTCATCTACAAGAGATGACGAGTTCAACTCAAGCTCAGGTCTAAGGACCACCATATCGGACAAAGCACCAGCCTTTAAGGCTTGATGAAATCCGTCTACAGACATTTCGTCTAGCTCTGGCAGAGCATTAATCGATGGGAGGGCCTCGAGGCCAACTTCTCCATCAATCACACCCGACACACCATTGACTAGCGCGTAGTACTGTTCACTAGTGCCCTTCGGCGTCATGGCCGAAGACTTTCTTTTCACATCCGCCATCTGGCGTCGCTGTAGTCTCGTTGAGAGACTGAACACTTCAACGTGTTAGGAACATCCGATTCCACGAGGTGGAAATTATCCTCAACCTCGACCTGCTCTCTCTGAGAGCCAATGTCATTACCGACATTAAGTGTGGTGCCATCACGGTCGACCTCACTCTGTCGATTTATACGTGCCACCACAATCGCATCTGTTGAGCATTGCTCTTAATACCTTGGCGAATCGCGAATAATGTCATTACCTACATTTAGTGGGGTGCCATCACGGCCGACTCTGTGGATGTTTACGTGCCAATCCACGCGCATATGTTAAGCATAGCTCTTGATGCCTTGGCGAATCGCCAACAATGTCATTACCAACATTGAGTGGGGGGGCATCACGACCGACCTCACTCTGTAAATGTTAACGTGACACTACACGCGCATCACAGGGATCACACCCAGGATGACTCGGCCTTAAGTCATCAGTGCTTCCAGCATTCAGTGATTCACTGTCATTACTAGTGTCACTCAACGGAATGCGTGCCGTTTCACTGTTGTCAATGACATCAGAGTTTACTAACTCAGACACTTAAATGCCAAGCACACTGACAGAATTCGTCAGTGGCGCGTGCCAATAGCGCTTTTGTTGCCTAGCAAAGGTGGGATAAGGACTCTCTAAAGCTTCACTAGGAACGTTGCGCGTTGCGCCTAAGGTCTTCGACCTCCATTCAACCCATTGCTCATGGCGTTCAAGCCAAGCCATATCAAGGATGAGATCATATCTCGAGTCCAAATCCAGGACAAGACAACGTTAGATTCTATCGAAAATAAAAAATTTCACACCTAAGTTCAACGGAACTTTAGGTACGGTCACACGAGTACCTGTCGCTAAGCGAACAGTGATAACATCAACCTCATGCGCTTTCAGCGCCTCAGCATATTGCTGACATCCCGTTAGGGACTGGTGTCGAGCAGAGTTGCCTGACGCTCCAGAGTCAATTAATATTGACCACAGTTCTTAAAAGCCCTTAATTGTAGCCGAGGCCACTAACAAGCCTGGCTTATACTCACGTCTCGTGGAAGCTTCCACAAGATCGTCTGGGGTTAAGACCTGTCTATCTTTACCCCTAAAGATTCGGCAGAACATAGTTCCTCCCCAGTAGGGAGCCCCGCGCCTACTGGGAGTTGCCGTTTTCCCGCTCCGTACCCACTTTCAAATTAGGAGGCGGGTTGCGGCTCGGCCGAATTTGACGCGGCTTCCGCAGTGGGCACTGAGACCGCAAGTGCCTGGTGCTCCCGCGCATATA